AAGAGATAGTGCTATACAACATTTATAGCGCTGTTCCGTTTTGTTTTCTAGTAAGGAATAGACAATGTGTTTAAATCATTCGTTCTTTCGCATCACTTAGCAGGAATAAAATATTATTGAGTAATTAAGGTCATGGTACGAAATAGAGTAAGATTGTTTTAAGCATGAAACAAAACTTTCTTATTATAAGATTGTTTCATAAAAGGTTGTGGTAGGCCCCCAGTCCCATTTGACAGCGCCCGTTTACGAACATGACACGTACTAAAATTCATATTCTAACTCTCTCGACTAAGTCGCGGGCAACAGCTAGTATAGGTACTGGATACTGCTGATACTGATATAATCAATGGACCTTCCAAAAATAAAACAAAATGATATTTGTTCAGATAAAAATAAATCTGTCAAATACATTTTTAACCTTAGTCGTATTGTGTATAAAGTTGATTATTGGTTGAAGGAATTTAGTCTTTATTTCCTCACGTATCCATTACGTATCGACATAGGCACTTATTGTTCTTATAATCTATCTATATCTATATCTCTATCTACACATATACTAATAAAATCGTTGAAAAGTCAAAACTGTACATTGAATATTAAAAAAAAAAATACTTCTAGCGTGATCTACAATTGATACCGAAGCCAAAAATATAGTTTTTAGAATTTTTGTCTGTTTGTCTGTATATATGTCTGGGATGATCTCAAAAAGTACTGCATGGATTTACTTCAAATTTTGCATGAATATTACTAACAAGTCGAGTCAACATATAGGTTACATATTATCACGCTATCATCTACGGGGAGGAGCCCTATACTAGGTACTTAATCAATTCTGACGACATACTTTACCATAGAATATCCCTTGATAAAGACTAATTTAAACTGTCAAACACCAAGCGGTCACCGGTGACCGCAACCTATTGTGTCTATTCTATAATTGTGTCTACAAAACCGGTACTCGACGAGTTAAAAGCATAGATTATTTTACGCGGACGAAGCCGCGGGCAACAACTAGTGATAAATAGATGTAGATTAAATAATGTTAGATTGTACCATTCCTTTTGATTATCTTACTACCGACTTCCGCGCGATTTCACCCGCTCTGTACGGCGTCTAATGATCGCAGCGTGATGTTTTATAGCCTATAGTCTTCCTCGATAAATGGACTATACAATACAAAAGGATTTTTTCAAATCGGACTAGTATCTCCTGAGATTAATGCGTTGAAACAAATTAACTTTGTAGCTTTATACACCCTGTAATCTATTTCGTTGTCGTCCCGCAGTAAAACAACTTGCCGTAAGGAATACTTTCGATTTACAGTAATTAAATAAAAACGATAAAATAATAAAACAAAAACTGCGTTTAAAAAACCGATTACAAAAATTTAAAAACTAATAACAAACAAAAAGTCAAAAATAGGTTAAAAGTCTGTTTAAAAATCCTAATTGAAAAACATAATAGACGCATTACTCGCCCTTACAAATTTCGAAAGTTCCCCTCGTTTTCCCTAGGATTCCATCATCAGATTCTGATCTCATGGATATGGGACCATCTCGGGAGCACACTATTAAACAAAACAAGAATTTTGGTAATTGGTTCACAAATGGCGGAGTAATCGGCGAACAAACAAATAAATAAAACAACTAGCCGAACATTTAACTCCCTCCTTTATTTAAAGTCATTAAAAAATAAATATGACTTTTTTTTTAGTTGCAATAAGTTTTCTTGGAACTACGCACATGAACACTATACTCGGAATTTTAATTCGATTCCAGATTTGACAATTTCAGTGTTGCAACGTTATGACAAGTACTAAATAGTGACGTTGCGAAATTATTCGATATGGAAATGGAATATTTCTGGATCGATTCTTCTCGTTTATAATTTTACTCCCGTAAACTAAGTATATCAGGAAATTAAATATTTCTGAACGATAATTTACTTTTGACGATTAATTAACGATCTAAGACTTTTCTTTTATAATTGTGTGTGAAATAAATACAAAAATGTAATCATGAAGGAACATGACAAATAAAACAGATAGATGTATTATGGTAATAAGTTATTTTATAAATTGTCGCCGTCATCGCTATCGCTATCCTGTCACTTTCTGTAACATTTATTATAAAACACACACACACTGATTGTTTATCGATTTTTGTGTTCATCACTATACTATAATATGTGGTATCATTATTTCACAAAATGACAGTAGCTATTGTCAAATCTGGAATCTAATTAAAATTCTGACTATAGACGTGAATTTGTAGGCACTATTCCAATCGCACGTGCCACCCGACGAGTGAAACAAATGAAACAAGTGAATTTATTTCTGCAAATAGGCTACAAGGCAACTTTACACGTCAATTTTATCAAGCGAACGATGAGGCCGACATTTCCTAACTGACTACTCTGAGAAGAAATGCCGAAACAAACTCAGAGGTCTGTTTTTTTTAAAGTCCAGACAATATGTATAACAGATTATGTGTGAGAACCGTGCCAGTTCTTTCTGTAGTGGCCTTTTGAGGAAAGAACCACAACAGTTTGAGCGGACCCGTTCGGAAGGCAGTACGCATGTGTCGGTTTACAGTCAGCTCAATTAACAGGTGAGGCTGACTGATTCGACGAACAATACCAACCCAAAGAACATTTGCGTAGGTCGCACAAATACTCAAACTGTCAAAATATGGGTAATTAGAAAAGAAATGGCGAGGCAAAGTCTCGCTCGGACCTAGCACTAACAATTGTAAAATAATAAGAAATACCTCTTCGACAATTACATGGCGTGATGTATTGATAATGTACTATGAGTTCATATGCGCTCTCGAAGTTTGCTTTTCGCAATGGTTCACCAGTTATTTTTTGTTTTAAATATTTTATTTGTTTGTAAAACTATTGTATTACCGAGACAGAACCTTTTTACTTCGGCACGAAAACGAAATAGATCAGAGGGTGTATTTAGGCTCCCGATCATTTATTCATTTCGGCCGTAAAAACTTCAGGTTTATCAGAGAGCGCTGCTATGTGTCCCTTAGTCGGGTATATGACACCCGCGGGAAGAGTAGGGGTGGTAAAAATGTTCTACCCTGCATGTTTTAAAGTTTATGTACGATGTTTCAGGTTCCTCCTCTCAGCCATGAGACCAGAGCTACTAGTAAAAGAGGATAACAATGAACTTAAATGTGAACTCCAAAGGAAGGAGGAACTACTCAGAAGACATTATGACAAGATCAGCCAGTGGCAGAACTTGCTAGCTGATCTGCAGGTACGTTGTCATAACAACTTTCAGATCACCCAGTCCACAAATCCCTTATTTTCCAAAGGCCGGCAGCGCATTTGTAACTCCTCCGAGTATTGGGAGTGTCCTAGCTTCACCTAATTTCACTGACGGACTGACAGACTGACAGACTATTATTTATTTTGTATTTGTTGACGTTTCAAAAGTACCACACTATGGTATAATTGAAATAAATGCTTTGACTTTGACTTTGTCACATGCTTGCGGACGGCGAGCATGGGTGGCTCGGCGCCCGACCAGAACCAGACCCGTACGGACCTGACCGTACGGCGGGTCGCGTTCCACGCGCCTCAAAAAACCATCAGATCACCACAGATGGGGACCAATAAGGCTGATTCCGATACGGAGCTGCGGACCACTTAACGGGTTGACGGGGCTGCGGCTCGAAGTGCAGGAGAAGGAACGGGGTAGTTTTTAGTCAGTAAGAGTCTGACACTCCCTCTCTTCTCACCCGGGAGAAGTCATTGAATTATTGTCGCCACAAAATATAAAATAAAAGTGTTGTGGGTGTCCATAGGCAACCATCAGGTGATCCGTCTGTTCGTTTACCGGCTTATGCTATAAAATAATGATGATGATGAGATAAATACGTCGAGTTACAAGTCACCCTGTACATGATGACGTCGATCCAATATAAATCTATATTTTCTCACACAGGGTCACACAGTATATAATAAATGTCAGCAACAGACAGCGCAGGCGCCGCCCGCCGTGCAACAAGCGCCCGCGCCGCAACACGTCGTGCAACAGAGCGTACAGGTACGTTGCATGTTCTCTCGTTCTTTCAATAGAGATTAGCCCACACAGAAGTTATTGTTACTTCAGTCCATAAGTATACAGGGTGGAATTTGTAATGCCACCTGAAGGGAACATAGGTACTCTTTTATTTATTTATATTTAAGAACACCTTAAACTATCATTACAGGGCATCATGTACCCTAATGCGACAGCTAAGAACCAAACCAAATATACAATACAAACCAACACCAACTAAACCAACAATAATAATATTATATAAAATCAAAAATAGGAAAAAGCTATACATTATTCACCAATATAATTAAAAATTACATGTCATTATTGAAATTATCAAATCTAATAAAAATACATAATATTATTTTACTTATAACACAATATAAATAGTAATACCCTCGCGAATTCACCAAAACAACATGTTAACACATCAATCTGTGTCTGAAGGTCGTTAATGGTACGGATAGCTCTGGTAAGAGGTGCCTTAGCTTAATACTTAAGATAGAAAATTTTACTCAAAGAACATTCCCTTAGTTTTGAAAACAAACAAAACTGCATTCAAATATTTTTAAAAGTTAGCTAGCTCCACACGGTAGTCGAACCGACTAAAATCTGTCAAAGTTTGCACCCTGTACTTTTATTGCGTCGCGGAGAACCTAACGGGTAACCGGGGCTCCGGCTCGACGTGCAGGAGTAGGAACGGGGTGGTTTTGACGTGACAACGTCTTAAATTAGGTTGCGGCTGGGAGTCACTTATGAAAAAGTGTAACGCTCGGTAACGTTACGATGAGTCACCGAACGAGAGAGAGGCCCGCCGAATGCCTTGCGTCTCTCTCCCACTCAACTATGATCGGTCTGCCGCGCGCGTAGCACTAGTTCATTCAATTCCTTGTTTCTATTGTGCAATTTAATTATATTCATATCAATAAATATTCTACCGAGAAAAAGACGTTGTCACGTAAAATCTTCGCCCGTAAAAACGACTTTACAGGCAACCATTTTTAGTCAGAAAGAGTCTGACACTCTCTCTCTCCTCACCCAGGCGGGAGCAGTCATTCGATGATTTTTCCCTCTTAAAAAAAAAATACTTTTATTGCACCGATCGTTTATTATTTTCCTTTCATTAAATTTATGTTGTTTGTAAGAGAGATTTTACCCTTACTGACCCTAACAATCGATGCAATAAACGTACATGGTGCAACTTTTACAGAATTTAGCAGGTTCTATTACCGTGTGCGGCAAGCTAATTTTAAAAATATTTGAATGGAGTTTTGTTTCTTTTCAAAAATAAAGGAAAGTTTTCTTTGAGTAAAATTTCCTATCTATCTAAACTACTTCCCTTTCAAGTGGCATTACAAAATTTCACTCGGTATATGTTAAGCCGTATTAACACTTGTCTGACGTGACGTATCATGATGTTTTTTGACCGGAGTGATGATTCCACGTCCTCACAGAAAACCGACGTGAAGAAACGCTCGCGTTGTGTTTCCTCGTATGAGTGAGGTGACTGGAGGTCCGATTACCCCCTACCCTACCCCAATCTCCCCAATCCCTGAATCCCCAACGATCCTCAAAAGGCCGGTACGCACTTGTAACGCCTCTTGTTTTCCAGGTGTCCATGGGCGACGATTGCTTACCATCAGGTGATCCGTCTGCTCGTATCCCATAAAAAATAACCATTTCACTGATGACATTTACTCATTAAATACTTTATTTTTCATCCAAAATTCCAGGCGCAACAAATGGCCGCGGCGGCCGCGCAACAAGCAGTGCTACAGCAACAGGCAGCGTTACAGCAACAACAGGTACCCCGCCCCCCGCACCCGCCCGCGTACCCCGCGAACGTGCAACGTCGGTAGCTACTGTAACATTGCTTTGCAACGAACAACGATCTGATGTGTTACAAGGTGTAACAGTTAATGAAAGATCTTTTAAAAAATGGTTCAATATTTTGAAACTGAATTACTTTTGTTTTATACCAGTCTCCTCTACATAAGAGGGTTTGCCATAATCTCCGCAGGCAGGCGGGTTGGAGGTCGCAGTATAAAAGGTTCAGGTTTATCAGAGAGCGCTGCTGCACGGTCTCTGTCTAATGTGTAATTTCTCAGTCGGGTATATGAAACCCGGGGAAAGAGGAAGGGTGGTGGTGTGATGTGATTTTACTCTTGCATTACCATACGGCTTATTTTGTAAACTGCAAATGATCTTTTCTTAAATTTCCAAAAGTAATTTATTTCGATTGATGAACCAACTTCTAAAAGGTCTAGCGTTTATTCTGTTACACTGTGTATACTCAAAATGGTGATTTATTAATCGCCAGGTGATTAATGTTAATCAATCAATTGGTGATTTGCGATTTAATCATTCGGTGATTGGCGATTAAAATTGTAAAAGTATTTTTATAATTCATACTTACTTCTACACACAAAACAAATATATTTTTTGATAGATATTCGACTGATTTTTGTGAGACAAAAATTTGTAATTTGCCCAATGTAAATTGAACCTTAATTGCATGGCGTTAAAGTTGATAGTTGTTAATCTTTTCCATAATATTTTGGTTTGAATATTTCTGTAAGATGAATCTTAATTATAAGTTTATTTTAGTTTTATTTTACAGTATTAGACAAAATCTGCATTTATATAATAATAAAATCTAAAAATAAAAATATTTCATCTTAAATTTGATTCCTGTGCTGCGAACGAAAGTCAACGCATTTTTTATAATTATGTATTGATGTGCCTCCGGAAAACATACAGCATTGCCTTGAAGAAGCAGTCGTATACTTTCAGCTCCATCTATGATCGACGTTAGTAAACACGTAGTTTTCACCTAAAAGTAACTAGATGGCGTTAGGGTGCACCAGCAA